TTGGCATTCTCCTATGACCAGAGTTCGTTATCGTATGCATACTAGGGCTGTCAAAATTGCTCAAATGGCGTTTGCATATTCCCTCTAAAAAACATATTCGAACATCCCGTTGCGCGTTTTGTTGTTGACGCGCATTACATCAATAACAGGACACATTAATAAAAAGAGACATAACTACTAGTATTAGATGGTTTATTTGAGTTTAAACATATTTGACAACGTATTAAAAATCAAGTAAATCAACTAATGGCCAAGACCGCAGAGCTCACTCTCTCGCCTGGACTCGCTCAGGCTCTCTCTCGCCCTCACGCTCTCTGCGCGTCGGTTAAATGAACAACAAACAAATGTTGAGTGCTAAACAAGAGTTTTGTGCAAGCAATTTAAGGTTGCGAGTCGCGACTCTTGTCCCAAATATAGCAGGCTTCAGTTCATTCAGTGATTGAAGTTTCACAGTATAGAACCGACAGTGAGCGCTCCGAGCGAGCTGTGCAGCTGTGGTAACGTTATTAGTCTGCAACCGCGGGCGTGTTTTTCCACATTCAAATATTAATTTTCACCTTCAAAATTAATAGATATTCGAATGTAGAATATTCATAGACAGTCCTAATGCATACTGAACGGATAACCTACACCTTAACTATTTGCAGCTTCTTAATACAATGGCAAGCAGTTAAGTTTTATAGACGAGGCATTCGCGTTTTCCATTTGGACCCACAAACTTGCTTAGTTGCAAGCACATAACAGTTATAGGGCGAAGTGTTTCCATTTTCAAAGTGTTTGACAATATTTCAGGAGTCAAACATTTAAAAGATCCTTTGAAAGTTTAAGTTACCATTCTCGTGAAGAGCAGGTTGCACTCTGCTAGTGGAGGAGGGCGGGGCACGTGAACTGCAGCATCTCCAGCAGCACGGAGCTGCCCGTGGCCGCCTGTCTATAAATAACGGCGGGGGTAAAAAAACTATCGGCGAACGCGCAGCGGTGTATCGGCCGATTCCGATACACGTAAAAACCTCAAATATCGGCCCGATATATCGGCCGGCCGATATATCGGTCGATCACTAATGTAAATTAACAGGTTAAATGCACCCAGATCTATTTGTTGACAAGTCCGGACTTTTGCTGAATAGGTGTTATGTACACTGTAAAAAGATTTGTTATCACAACATTTTTTTCTTGTCAAATCAATTTAATTTATTTAGCTCAGATAACTTGTTATTTTGAGTTTCTATTAATTAAATCAATCTCCTTCATTGTATTAACTCGCTTTTTCCAGTTCAATCAACTTAAAATTTTAAGGCAACCAGGTTACTTACTTTAAGTTAAACCATCAATATTTTTTTACAGTGTAGTAATCACAACATTTTTTCTTTTGTCAAATCAACTTAAATAATTTATTTAGTTCAGATAACATATAATTTTGAGTTTCTGATGATTAAATCATTCTCCTTCATTGTATTAACTCATTTTTTCCAGTTCAATCAACTTAAAATTTTAAGGCAACCAGGTTACTTACTTAATTTAAGTTAAACCAACAATATTTTACAGTAATTGAAAAACAAACACAGGTTTTTGTCTGTTTGAGTATTGCTAGTAATGGATTTACACTGTAAAAAAATATTGATGGTTTAACTTAAAAAGTAAGTAACCTGGGTTGCCTTAAAATTTTAAGTTGATTGAACTGGAAAAAGTGTGTTAATACAATGAAAATGAATGATTTAATCATCAGAAACTCAAAATTATATGTTATCTGAACGAAATAAATTAAGTTGATTTGACAAAAGAAAAAATGTTGTGATTACTACACTGTAAAAAAATATTGTTGGTTTAACTTAAAAAAGTAAGTAACCTGGTTGCCTTAAAATTTTAAGTTGATTGAACTGGAAAAAGTGAGTTAATACAATGAAGGAGATTAATTTAACCATCAGAAACTCAAAATAAAAAGTTATCTCAACTAAATAAATTATTATAAAGTTGATTTGACAAAAGAAAATATGTTGTGATAACAAATCTTGAAAATATTTTTTACAGTGAAATCATGCTGAAAGAGAATGAGATATATTGATTGCTGAATACATTATCAAACTAGTTAAAATGTTTAATGATCAAGTCTTTGGACATCTTCAGAGTGCTGTGGTTGTTTAATATATAGGAAAACATGCATATAAATGTGCCGTCAGTGTCTTTGTTTTTCTTGTTTTTCATCCGTTGAACTTTCCACGTTCATTTAATTGATCACAGAGTTCTGTGAAGACAAACTTGTGTCTGAGCAAAATACATTTGTAACAGTTCTTGATGTGATTTTGTAATTGTTTTTTGTTATTTACGCACACACACAGACAGTTTCTGTCCTCAGGGTCTCCATTAATTAATGCCTTCTCATTGGGATCAGTGATACACTCTTGGGTAATAAACACCTTCCTCATGGGTCACACACAGGAATCTCCCAGTACGCCAACATTAACACACATCCACAGAGAATTGTTTCCTGTTTGGAGAGCAGACCTGGGTCATACTCGGTGGATGCAGTGTGTGTGTGTGTGTGTGGCGGTTAAAACAGGAGCCTGAATCAGCGTTCTCCTCCTGTCTCTCCCTCTCGGGTTCCTCCAGCAGGTCACGGCCCAAAAATAGCAGCGGGCGCCGTTTCAAGTGCAAAACCGCCGACTTTGGGGCCGCAGCCAGTCTTTCGAGTGTGAGATTTCTATGGGAATACTTGGCTAAGCTCCAGTCGGGCTCTGAGTGTGTGTGTGTGTGTGTGTGTGTGTTTTTTTTCTCGTTCCACTCCCACTTTTTTTCCCTTTCCCTCTCTGATCTGACTCTGGCAGATGAGCTTGCAAATTTTCACTGAACACATGCGCTCCACGTGACGACAGTTCAGTGTAAATATTCCCACACACACACACACACACACACACACACACGCGCGCACACTCCTCCGCTGGGAGGCTTTATGACTGACTGCCAGATTGATTTCAGCATCACACACCCCAAATGAACTCATTTTGTTCAGGCTTGCTTTCAGGCAGCCAGTGTTCTGTAACGGGCAAAACCATCTATAATCAAAGACTATGTTTATTTCCTGTATTTTGAGGAGATTTTCATATCTAATAGTTGTATTTATGTACATGTTGCTGATGTTTGCCCTGCAACTAGATTTATTCTTGAGAAAATGTGAAGTGTTTGCTTGTCCAAAACTTTGACACAACAACGCTAATTTGTTGTGGGTGATATCCAGATCGTTGCTATTATTAGGATACTTCAACAATTGAGTCGCCAATTTGTTCATCCTTCTGTTGTTTTAAATCCATAAGTTCATCTTAAGAACACAAATGAAGACATTAATATGCTCTGTGTTTGTGTTCATCCATTGGAAGCAGTGTTGTAGTACTCGAGACTCGGACTCGACTCGGTCTCGGTCTCGAGACCATATTTTAATGGTCTTGGTCTTGTCATGGACTCGTGTCCATTTGGACTCGGAATTGACTCGTACTCGAACATTTTTTTTTTTAGGACTCGGACTTATTCCCGAGTCCACTCGAGTTCAATTAAAAATATTTTTCATGATTATTAATGTATGTTAATAAAATATTTCTTTAAATTGATTGACACGTCCAGTGATTGGTGATTTTCTAGTGTGCAACTGCGCATGACAAATTGTAATAAATTACTTTTAACACCACCTACTATGTGGCCTTTTTACCCTAAAGTTAAACTGATCATATTTTTTAAACTCTAAGTAAATTCAGTAAAAAAAAAGTTTAAAAAAAAAGGATTTCTCTAAGTAAATAAAAGTAAATTAGGTAATCAACCCTCACTGGTCTCGGTCTCGAATCGGACTCGACCGTCTCTGGTCTCGGTGTCGACTCGGACTCGAGTGAGGTGGTCTCGACTACAACACTGATTGGAAGTTTATGCAACCAAAAAAGCTTTATTATTATGCATGATTATTGTATTTGTCCTATTGTTTGTACTTTATCTCTTTGTTCTTATTTTTAATAACAGATGTATTAAAATAACTGATCGTCCACATCTAGTTTCAGGTGTTTGTTTATCTTGATAAGTTTTATGTTGATATAACGAAAACTGAAAAAAGTTTATATAATTTATATTAAGTTAAACAGAGTTATTGGTATTTAAAATAGGTATTTTGTTTTGTATGCAATGATGTTAAAACGGTCAGATTTGTGACACTGCTGTTCACTGTTATAGTGACTCTTTCTTTTCCCGCATAAATGAAACATATATTGTTTATTTAACTTTCAGTTTTTAAGTATAATGTAATTTGATTTTACACATACAAGCATTATCGTATAGCATATTGAAAATTGCATCAGTTATCTTACATTTTCTTCAAAAATCATACTTATACACAGAGCACGTGTGTTGCAAATTTGAAAGCAAAGTATTGTCGCTAAGTTTATATACCGGTGTGAATTTCCTCTCAAGCAATGCAATGTTTTTTTTTTTTTCGTTAAAGGAGTAGTTCACTTTTAAAAAAAACTTTTGCTGATAATTTACTCACCCGCATGTCATCCAAGATGTCCACGTCTTGCTTTCTTCAGTCGAAAAGAAATTAAGGTTTTTGATGAAAACATTCCAGGATTTTCTCCATATAATGGACTTCAATGGGGACCAAACGGTTCAAGGTCCAAAAGACAGTTTCAATGCAAACTACAAACTGTTCAAAGGGCTTTAAACGATTCCAGACGATGAATAAGGGTCTTATCAAGGACCCTTCGAGTCATGACTCGAAAAAAGATTTTCGAACAGGAGAGTCATGAGCGCTGATCACAGAACAGAGCAAGGCGAGCATTTGAGCTTATAAAACTTAAACTTTTGTATTTATTTTTTAAATGACCGACCGCATCGCTAGATTTATTCATCGTCTGGCACACAAAGTACTCGGGGGTTTGTTCAGATCACTTGGAATAAGCAACAGTAATGTTTTGTCTTATCACACAACACTAAAACATATTGTCATTTCCTCTTGTTCTCATGTGCAGGATTTGTCGGGCTCCATCGACGATCTCCCCACAGGCACAGAGGGTGCTTTAAGCCCGGGCGTGAGCACATCAGGTGTGTCCAGCAGTCAGGGTGAACAGAGCAACCCAGCGCAGTCGCCGTTCTCTCCCCACACCTCTCCTCACCTCTCGGGGATCCGTGGGCCCTCTCCCTCACCCGTGGGTTCGCCTGCCAGCGGCCCGGCCTCGCGCACGGGACCCCTCTCACCTGGAGCCATGCCTGGTGGGAACCTCACTCATATCATTTATTTTAATAATGCAGTTGTTTAGTTTACTTTAGAGACTTCTTTTTAAACTTTGTTGTTTACATCACCTATAGGAAACCAAATGCCCCCCAGACCATCGAGCGTCCAATCAGATGGTATATTACATTCCTCCATGAGTCAGGACAGAGGTGAGTCTTGACAGTTTTGTCGTTTTATGATTTGCACAATTTGACTAAGGTCTGCACTATTACTCAAAATTAAACTAATAACGTGATGTTGGTGTAATTACAAATCACAAAGCCTGCTATTTAATTAAATGTATGCTATGTGTGCCTCATGGGACATATATCACCTCTGTGCTTCAGGCGACCCAAGTTCAATTCCCGGCTCCCGATCATATTCCTCTCTCCCTCTCCCACTTCACTTCCTTTCTACATACTGTCCTTTGATAAAAGACAAAAACTCTCAAAAATAAATCTGTAAAATTACAATACAAATATATATTTTTTTAAGTTTACAGTAATGTAAATTAAAATAATTTAGGGCTGTCGCATCCAAAATAAAAGTTTGTGTTTACATAATATATGTGGGTGCACTGTGTATAATTATTTTTTGTGTGTGTATATATATATATATATATAATATATATATATATATACGCATATATATATATATTATATAAAAAACAACGCATGCATTTATATATAAAAAATATTATTTATATATAAAATAATATGGGTGCACTGTGTATAATTATTTTGTGTGTGTATATAAATGAATAAATACACACGCATAAATCTATATTTAGGAAAAAAATATTATTTATATATAAAATTTTATTAAAAATATTTTTTAAAAATTTGTTCAAATATATTATATTTATAAAATATATATATAATATATTTATAATTTATAAATCTATATACAGTAAATAAATATATATACACACAGTGCACCCACATATATTATGTAAACACAAACTTTTATTTTGTTTATTTTGGATGCGATTAATCGTTTGATAGCCCTAAAATAATTATATTTATCTTTAATATTTGTTTTACTTTACAGTGAAAAAAAATCCAGTATTATTATTCTTTATTTTGTTTCTAATAATTAACGTCAAGGCTAGTTTACCATATCATAACCGTGTCCGCTCTCTGCAGTATATATGAGGAACCCTCAGATGCCATACGGCTCTCCTCAACCCGGGTCAACTTTATCCCCACGGCAATCATCTGGAGGCCAAATGCATAGTGGGATGGGTTCCTTCCCCCAGAACAACACCATGGCTAACTATGGGCCGCAGGGTGCCCAGTACGGACCTCAAGGTGAGAAGCTTTGCTTTGATTAAATATTTGACTTAAGAACATGAAAAACACATTTGACTTTTATTACTCTAGCCTAGTTTACCTTAACCCCAAAATCTACGTAACAGGTTACCCGAGGCCACCAGGTTATGGAGGCATGCCAAATGCTAACTATCCAGGTGGTCCTGGCATGAGTGGATCCATGAACCCTATGGCTGGGCAGGGTGGAGGAGGGCCGTATGGAGGGATGCCTCCAGGACGCATGGGGCCAGGTCAGATGGGTACGAGGCCATACGGCCCTGGCATTGCCCCCAACATGGGTGGCATGCCCCCTCAGGTGGCATCTGGAATGTGTCCACCACCGGGAATGAACAGAAAGCCTCAGGATCCTGCTGCAGCGGGCATGCACCATGGCCCATCCAACTCCATACACAGGTAGAGTGCACCACATGCTGCTTTTATACTTAACCTCATTGAGAAGCACAATTCCTGTAGACCCGGTTGGCAGAAATTTCCATTCTAACCCCTTCTCTGTTTGCGATCGGATCATTTTAAGCAGCTAAACTCCGGGAAAGTTTTCAATTATCCACTAAGCAAATTCTTTCAAACAATCAGTACAAAACAGTGCTTGTATGTCATGAAAACCAGGCTTATTTCATCAGAGACGGCAGAGAGAACAGTGACTCATGGCCAGTTTTCAGTCAATTATTCATTTCTGGCTTTAAATATTCTGTCAAACTCTGTGATTGTTTCTGAAGAGCGTGAGCCCTCACGCGTCGCGCTGTGAAACACAGACTGAACGGCACGTCACAACATCCCACCATGGCCAGATGATATGCTAACTACGTTTCTCAGCTGGATAAAGCAAACCAGCTTCTCGCTAGTAAAGTTTTGATGGATGCGAATTGTAATCAAGGTAAACACGATTACAGTAACGCACAGGAGTCGTACAGTAAGCACGCGTGAGTCCGTTATTATTGATGCGCAACCAAACCGTGCACGTGCACTCTTATACATAGACATGTTTTAGTACGTTCACATTGTTTTTTGCTCAAACATTCAGGGTAATGTTTTAATCTGTCTGTGTATGTTGCTGTGTTTAGTAATTCTGAATAGATCTGTACTGTAATAGGCATATAATGTAATGGTCAAGGTGATGGTCATCTCCATGCGGTCCTGTTCAGTATCCAACTTGACATGTCTAAAATGTAAACAAGCTCTAAAAATATCATATATTTAAGCATAATATAAGCTATTTGCTGTTGCACCGTACACATACTAAGAATTCACTGTGAATTTTGACTTTTTTCCCTGTATATATATATATATATATGAAGAGTTCAGATGCAAAAGCCTCTAAATGCCATTTGAAATTTTCTTCTTTAATGATGATTTTTATCAAGCTTGTTCAGTGATTTCACTTAAATGGCAATGATAATTACCTATTAATTGTTATTTAAGTGAAATTACTGAACTTAAATATACAAGTTTGACAAAAATCATCATTAAAGAAGAAAATTTCAAATGGCATTTAGAGGCTTTTGCATCTGAACTCTTCATATATATATATATATGTATGTATATGTATATATATATATATATGTGTGTGTGTATGTATATATATATATATATATTAGGGCTGTGCAAAAATTAATTGTGATTAATCGCATCCAAAATAAAAGTCTCTGTTTACATAATATATTTGTGTGTGCTGTATAATTATTTTGTACATATAAATACCTATGCATGCATCTATATAATTAAGAAAATGTGTTATTCATATATAAAATATTTATATTCATATAATATAGATTATGTATTTATATATATATATATATATATATATATATATACAGAATTTAAGCGCAAATAATTCTTAAATATATACATGCATGCATAGGCATTTATATATACAAAATAATTACATACAGCACACACAAATATATTATGTAAACACTGACTTTTATTTTGGATGCGATTAATCGGAATTAATTTTTGCACAGCCCTAATATATATATATATATATATATATATATATATTAATCTTTGTGCTTTGGTGTGCATAGATTTATGAGTTATGGACTACTTATACACTCCTGAACAAAATCTTAAGGCTGGGGGGTAAAATCTGTGCAAATATATGGCTTTCATGTTATTGTCCTAGTTATGATGGGGCTACTTTCTAATGAGTCCTTTTTTGACACTTTTACTTCTGTTGTGAGTTTATATTTCGGTTCTGGTCTTAAACTTTCATGAACGCAAACATCCGAAGCGCGCACCCTTAAAACCGCGCAAACACTGAATTGAAAGCTTTCACGTCTTGAGCTTGTACGGACTAATTGAACAAAATAATTCGGGCTGTCAAACGATTAATCGCATCCAAAATAAAAGTTTGGGTTTACATAATTGTTGGATTGCTCGCATAGCTGGATCTCTCTCGTGCCTTTTGGAAACACACAGGCTGGTTTATCTCTTTTCATTAAACGCTTTTATACAACCCAAAGCGGTGGAAATAGAACGAATAATGCAGAGTTTGCTTGATTTTGATTTTGGTCGCAAATCCATAACATCCTGGAGGGACTGCCGGTTGAATCAAGACATGCAGGAAAGATTTTACCTTCCAGAGTCCGTCTGATCATACTGGGAGAGCTGAACATGAGATTAATTCGTTTCTCTCCTAGACCGCCTGGATTTCCTAACATGAACCAAGGAATGATGGGAGCTGGGTCTCCATATGCACCACCCATGAACAGCATGCAGGGTATGATGAATCAAGCAGGACCGTACCCAATGCCTGGCAACATGTCCAATAACTCTGCAGGTAAGCACTCAACATGCTTCCTGTATTTCTCTTCACACATCAGTTTTTATCTGATTGAAGTAGCCCACAATGACAATGTTTTTCCATTTGTCTCATAGGCATGGCTCCCAGTCCAGAGTTTGGCATGGAGAAACTCAACCAATCGCAGAAGTTGAATAACAAAGTGGACGGGACTCCTAAGACCGAATCAAAAAAGGTGACGAGATATTAATATTGAAATGGCTCTCGGCCTCTCTTAAGCTCAAGGACACGGGCTTGACTGATCATCTGTGTGGAGGGTTGTGCATGTACATGGGGAGGAATGCCCATTCAGGGGTTTTGAAATTGCTCCCTGCAGTCCTGCCTTTATACATCATTAATGAAAATGCTTTTCCACTGAAATGCACACACACACCGTGTTGATATATCCGTGTATTGATGCCCCGTTTATAAAAATTGCATGTATTTTCAAGCAGGAATCTACCAGTGGTGGAGGAGGTACTGAATCTCAGTACAAATAACCAGATAAATATTTACTTCAGTAAAAGTAGAAGTAACACAATGACAACCATACTTAAGTAGAAAGTAAAAAAGTACTTTAAAAGTTAATTGCGATTAATCGCATCCAAAATAAAAGTCTGTGTTTACATAATATATTTGTGTGTGCTTTATGTAATTATTTTGTATATATAAATACCGATGCATGCATGGATTTTAGAATTATTTGCGCTTAAATTCTGTATATATTTTTAAATACATAATCTATATTATATAAATATAAATATTTGATATATGAATAACACATTTTCTTAAATATATACATGCATGTGTGTGTATTTATATATACAAAATAATTATATACAGCACAGACAAATATATTATGTAAACACAGACTTTTATTTTGGATGCGATTAATCGCAATTAATTTTTGCACAGCCCTAATTAAAAGTAAAAGTACTTGCATAACAATTGATTCTCTTAATGACTATTTTCTAATGATTAATAAAACATTTATTTCTAACTCATTCAACCTAATACTCCTATAATGATGGAAAAAAATGTCACAATTTCTGAAATAAGCTTGCAATTAGGCAATATAAACCATGCTTTCCTTACTAACTTATGTTAATAACTATGTTTGGCAGTAAACGTGATTAATTTATGGTGTAATTCTGAACCTCTTGGCTTGCCATAATCCTAACCAAACGTATCTGATATTACACACGATGTGTTTCCTATGCACGTAAAAACAAATTTTCGCGTATAAATTGCACGATAAACACACTGTGTGCGAGATGCATTTAGTTGATGTATCTATGGCAACCAAACATCACTGGTGAGACCAACGTGCAACGAACGGATGGTCGGATTAAGTTTTGGCAGGGGAAAAACTGATCAGAAAATGTAACAGAAGTTGTAGAAATGTAGTGGATTGCTGCAAAATGTAACCAAGTAAAAGTAAAAAGTATGCACTATTTATTCTACTTAAGTAAAGTACAGATACGTAAAAAATTTACTTAACCCTTGTGACAAAAATGTCCATGTTAAAAAACTGTCATAAAAATGTGACGCTTCGGAGCACAGACTTAAGTTTGGTATCATTTTAAAAGAAGACCCTTTGCAGATTATTGCTAAAGTAAAAAATAATAATAAGTAAATCAAAAAAAAGTTATATAGGTATAAGTTTATGAAAATTATTTATAAAAAAATATTTTATAAATAAGGTTGAACTCAAAACTGCAATAAAATCAAATCCATAAATCTAAATAGGTTGTGTTCCAAATTTGAGGATGATATCTCAAAAAATTTGCTTTGGGTAACAGTTTGTTTGGGCGTAGTAACATATTTTCCCCATTGGGTGGCAGCAAAACCCCACTGGAGCTCACAGTGATTGGATTTGAATTTGCAGTTTTTCTCTCTCAGTATTACAAACACACATATTTTTTTTTATAACACACATACTAACCACACTCTGACATCCATACCAACACACCCACACAAATATTGTTGCATAATTTATCCAGTTGGCTCTATAATATGCCGAAGCAGAAAACAGGAATAAAGTGATATTTGTTTTATAGGCCAAACTTAAAAAAAAAAAATGGCACTATCTGATAAAAAATAGTAAAAAAATAAAAATATGAAGCCTTGCCATCAGAATGAAAGCCTCTTAACAAAGATTGCATAATTTTATAGTTAACTGAACCGGGGATTAAAAATGGCAGTTTCAATGGGGACATTTTTGTCCAAAAGGTGCTGAGAGGGAGTATTTTTTTTGTACCTAATGCAAAAAAATATTTTTTGACGGTGAAATAGTAAAATTCCAATAAAAATACACACCTGTGCCAATTTTTTTGCAGTTAGCTTTAACACAGGCAAAGTGATCAAAAAAAACAAAACTGAAAAAATGTCCATCAGAATGCACAAGGGTTAAGTAAAGTAATGCCACCTCTGGAATCTACTATATGCATTTTCCATTTCATCCTTGCAGAAGTCGAGTTCGTCCACCACCACTAATGAGAAGATAACCCGTCTGTATGAGCTGGGTCCGGAACCAGAGAGGAAAATGTGGGTGGATCGTTACCTTGCGTTTGCTGAGGAGAAAGCCATGGGCATGAACAATCTCCCCGCGGTGGGCCGCAAACCCCTCGACCTCTTTCGCCTCTACGTGTCCGTCAAAGAGATTGGTGGCCTCACTCAGGTGTGGAGATGAACTTCTCCTGATATGGTAGCTGTAAATTACAGAACGGGTTCATTAGGAGTTATTTGTGATTTGCATATGAAATGCTTATTTTGGTTTCTGTTTTTCTGTTGGCTTTGGTGGTCAATTGTGTCCGTCTGCTGTTTTCAGGTGAACAAGAATAAAAAGTGGAGGGAATTAGCCACTAATCTAAATGTGGGCACATCCAGTAGTGCGGCCAGCTCTCTAAAGAAACAGTACATCCAGTGTCTCTACGCGTTTGAGTGCAAGATCGAGCGAGGGGAAGACCCTCCGCCGGACTTCTTCAACACTGACCCTAAAAAGAACCAGGCTAAGGTCCAGCCCCCGTCACCAGGTCAGTGCCGACATGCCCAACAACTGGGTTTTTGGTTTGGTTGTAATACCTTGGTCTGAAACTAAATCCAATGCCATACTATAACCAGGTGTGATGCAAAAAGGCCGATTTCACATGCTAGTTTTTCAGTGTTTTGAGATTGGTCCGCAATCCCTGTGCATTAAACATCAAATATGCTCTCAGTGTTTGTGAGGTTTGGTGCTTGCTTTCAGCATTTCTCCTTCTGGTGTAAGATTACCACGGTGTTTGAAGCATATGAATTTGAGGGTTAATGCGTTGTTGTTTCGAGTCAGGTACAATGTTGTCATGATGTCCAGGAAAGCTGACGTAATCAGAGTTGAGATTCGATAACTGCCTGGACATAAACCTCTTCCCATAATGCACCTGTAACCTGCTAGATTCATGTGGTTGTAAATGTGACATTATAGTGTGCATGTCTTGTTTTTGCTTTGTGGTTTAATACAGCTGTACAACATTTGACGTTCATTTCTTGTGTCGTTTATAGTGATTTATTGTACTGCTTGCTACCTCTCCTTTCTGATGCTTATAATATATGGAGATATTGAGCCTGGGTCTTAAAGGGATACTCCACTTTTTTTTTTTTGGAAATAGGCTCATTTTACAACTCCCCCAGTTGGGTTTTAACCATTTTCGAATCCATTCAGCCGATTTTCTGATATTTAGAAGTAGAGCCCGACCGATAAAGGATTTTGAAGGCCGATACAAATATTTGTTGGTTTTAAAATCCGATATATCGGCCGATATTATTAGTATTTTTTTTTATTTCAGAAACGGGCAACAAAATATTAACAGATTTCCCTAACATTAGTTATTTGTAGTTAATTATGAGTTTTAACTAAAATATTATGATAATGCATAACTGGTTCTCTCTGCCCGACTCTGGCTGGATCAGCAGGTTGCAGCGCGTTATAACAGGGACGGTGTAGAGTGCCCTCTGGTGGACAAACTATACAACTCCAACACTCATGACATAGTTGAAGCGTAATTTGTCCGTTTTTATTTTTATTTTTATTTTTGAAATATTCATTTATCGGCCATTATAACTGCCGATACCGATATTTTAGAAAATGTCTAATATCGGCCGATATATCGGTCTGGCTCTATTTAGAAGAATATCAGTAACCAGACAGTTTCTGGTCTCATTGACTTCCATAGTATATTTGTTTCCTACTATGGAAGTCAATGACACCAGAAACCGTCTTGTTATTGATATTCTTCTAAATATCAGAAAATCGGCTGAATGGATTCGAAAATGGTAAAACCCAACTGGGGGAGTTGTAAAATGAGCCTATTTCCAAAAAAAAAAAGTGGAGTATCCCTTTAAGTATGCTTAAGGAGACTGCATTCTATCCATCCAGCTGTTTTTCAATCCAAAAACACATGTAAAAGAGAGTAAGTTCTGTTGAAACTAAGATTACAAGAGAAACGGGGCGAGTTAAAGGGGATCCCGTGTGATGTAGAGCGCGTCTGCTTGGCACAGAGTCATGAGCTCCCCGACTCGCCTTCCGGCAGATTGCGTTCTCCTGGCCTCGGGATTCAGAGGCAAACCCCTGGAGGGCTGAGCCGAGGGGAGGGGGATCGGGGTGTGTGTGTGTGTGTGTGAACGAAGGGGTTAGTGATATGTAAAGTCAAGCTGGGGTTTTCGTCATCTTTTTTCCCACCCTCCCCCTCTTTATCTGTGTTTGAGGGATATCCTTGCCCAGAGGAGGGAGGCTGAGCCATTGTGCCGTGTGTTAAAGAGCATGTGTGAAGTGTGAGATACGGTTACGTCTGACCTGGCAGTGACCCCAATGTGTGTACGAGTTAATGAATGAAAGTATGAGTCATCCAACAGGCATGCCAGTCGTAATCGTCCTCTAGCTGGCCGCAAGATGAGCTGCAACATGTGGTGGTGTTCATCCACACACGTTTGTGTGTGTCTCGGCATCATTCCCTGCACTCTCTGACACTGACATTGACACACAAGCACATTGGCTCAAGTCTACTTAAACATGTAATTATGTTGGTTGGGATTGGCACGAGCACTCAAAAACTTAGAGACAGTGAAGTTTGAGTTCAAAACATTTCTCTATTATATGCTGCATAAATAAACTTGCCTTGCCTTGCTAGAAATGTTGCTTTTTACTTTTAAGCAGCATGTAACCTTCAAAGTTTATGTTAAACTCATTGAATTTAATATTTTTTAATACTTAAATAAGGTGGAAAAATAGTTCTAGCAGATTTAACTGTGAAATGTTAATGTTAATGTTATTGATACCGACTTTTGGAATATCGTCTTGTGTGCAATTAAAAAAAAATTATGCTCATTAATATCTGTTGTAATAGTATTCTCAGTTGAAGAATTGAGACTTGGAAACAGTATTTGATACGTCACGACTCAAAACTCCAAAAATGGGGCCTTATTTGTTCAGAATTGCATTTGAGGTTAGGAACTGGGTATTGACACTAATTTCACATTTCGATTCAATATAGTTTATTTTGGATATCAGTTACAATAAATGGCAAATTTTCTCAAGGAAATCAAATCTCTTAACTAATGCTGTAAACTATGGGAGTCTAGTTGTAGCCTATAGGCTTCAGTAGCCTAATATGAAGGTGTTTTGTAGCTATACAAACACTTAAATTACACTTTTATTTATTTTTATAGTAAGCAGATCATATGAAATATAAACATTTAAATGGTGGCTGTCATAAAAACTTGCCAGATTTATTCAAATATGCATTAAATATTGAAGAACATTAAGATTATAATGCTATAATGCATATGTAATATGGTGTATATATTTAGCAAAATGCTCCTCTCTAGAGTTATTTTTTCTAGCTGACTAACGAGTTTATGTGGGTTTTCTGAGGTAAATATGACGATACATTGATTACAAGCTGTTTAACTGACGTCTTTCCACGGTTGAAACGCTGATTGAGCGAATCAATGTGTCATGATCCGGATTTGGATAAGTTGTCCTCTATCTTTAACACACTTTCAGATGCTCGTTCATGTTTATTTGGCGCTGTGACTGGTATTATTAAGCCGGAAGAGAGATCAGCGCTGCTGCTTCTCCAGAGCGATCTCACGCCACAGCGACAAAACGCTATTTATGTTTTTGAATTTCTAAAGAAAATGGACGTAATTTTAAAATTGAGACTTTGTTTCATATCAATAGTAACAAAGGACAAAGATTATTGCGATTCAACGATCCATTCATTCAAAAGAAACAGGATGACTAATCGATTCTTGAGATTTAAGAATCGATATCGGTTCGTAAAAATGAAAATCAAGACTCTGCCTGTTTATCTGAGTACTCAAGCGATCCAACTGACCCCCCATGAGGCGTATTGCCTCATCTTTCTCAGCACATGAGTAAGCACTTAGCTGCTGGCTGAGTGGTAATAATGGAGACTCTGTCATGCTGTGATAAGGAGTTTCAAACCTTCGGATGCTGCTCTCTGAGCACTTAGCTGGCAGAGCACCTCTCCCTGTGTCATCGGTGGGGGAAAGTCCTCAAATGAGATTAAGTGCCATGAAAAGCAGCTGATTTCAGGCTGGCGAAGGTTGCCAAATAAGCCGAGCTCAGCACATTTCCTTGAAAGTGTGTCGTGGCTGTCTGTCCACACTGACAGTGAAAGTGCCGTAGAAACAACAAACGCAGCACTTCAGAACATATTTGATGTTTTGGGAATTTTGTTTTCTGGTATTGTGTTTCTTTACTATTCAGCCTAAGTCCCTCCTCTTCTGGTCGACCACCATGGGACCTTATTTCGGAAAAATATTGAATGGTAGTCAATGGCGAGAGACAACAAATATTTTGATCTGGTTTGAATTGTGCCCTGAATTACACATATGATGTTTGTCCATTTAAAAGATACATTTTAAAGTAAAGAAAGTCGCAGTTTGATGTAAAACCATTGAGGTAATAAGACTGAAAATACGAAAAAAAAATTTTTTAAACCTTTATTTTACCAAGAAAGAAGCACATTGAGATACAAATCTCTTTACAAGAGCGTCCTGGCCAAAACTGACAGACACAGCACATTTGAGTGTAACAAATAACATCCAACAATACAAACACATGTATACACACAAGCAACTCAAGTACAATTTCAAAATCAAATACAGAACTAGCTAAAACATCTACAGCCCGATGTGCTAAATCATTTAAAATTGATTTAAAAGTGTCCAACGAAACCAGTTTCCTCAGTTTCAACGTATTTTGTAAACAATTTGAGGCAGAGGAAGCAGCAAATTTAAATGCCTTTTTCCCAAATTCAGTTCGTACCACTGGAACAGACAGTAAAAACATGTCCTGTGATCGGAGACTATAGCTAGAAGGATACTTTTTACAGATAGATGTACAAAGATATGATGGTAATAAACCCAGGATGGATTTATAAATAAAAACATGCCAGTGTTTTTGTCTTCGGATGGACAGCATGTCTAAAGCATGTAAACATTGTGTAGATGCATGCATATATATAACATCACCATAATCTAGTACCGACATAAAAGTCGCTGCAACAAGCCTCTTTTTTGCCTCAAAAGAAAGGCAGGACTTAATTCTAAAGTAAAAACCCAATTTCACTTTAAGTCTTTTCTCCAGTTGCTGGACATGAGGGCCAAAGGAGAGAGCGTCGTTAATTAAAATACCCAGATACCTGTACTGAGACACAATCTAAATTTTTGAACCTTGGGTCGTAGTAATGGGCAGAAGATTTTTTTTAGGGATTGATTTGGATTTTGAAAACAACATGGATTTTGTTTTATCCACATTTAAAACCAGTTTTAGTTCAATTAGGTTATGCTGAACAACATCAAATGCAAGCTGCAATTTAAGTCATGCAATTTAATTACAAAGACTACAAACCCCAAAGGCGCACATTTTCTCCCAATGAATGAAGCTAACTTTACTGAGGCTAATGTCTGTCATTGTTTCTACAGTCTTACGTTATAATCGTAACATTACGCCGTCATGCCTGAGTGTTTTGTACCAGACCGCACACACACGAGCAGCGGATCTCACTCGTTGTTTCGCTTCCTGGGAGATGTAGTTCATTGAGCGATTTTCACTTAAAACTAAATGTTACTTTTCTGTTGTATGACAAACTGCGACGTTTTTGACTTTCAGAATTATCTTTTAAATTGACGAACATCATATGTGTAATTGAGGTCACAGTTCAGACGGAATAAGAAAATAAGTTGTCTCTCGCCATTGACTACCATTCATATTTTTTCTGAAATAAGGTCCCATGAGCCGGAAGCGGAGGCTCTCTATATGTCCACCTAAACTTCCTCTGGTGTTTGCTGACTGACAAATCTGATATTCCCCCTTCCTCAGCTGGATCAGGATCGTTACAGGGTCCTCAGACGCCTCAGTCGACCAGCAGTTCAATGGCCGAAGGTGGTGACCTGAAGCCCCCTACCCCTGCCTCAACACCGCACAGTCAGATGCCACCCATGCCTGGTGCTAGGTACGGTACATGACAATACTACGCCTCTGTATCATCAGTTTTGGGACAGGACATTCATAATTAATTTCAAGGGCCACAGTCGCTCATTTGAGCTAATTTTGAGTCATTATGTCTCACACAGGAGCAGTGTGAATTTACAGGACCCGTTTGCTGACGGTGGGGATCCAGCTTTTACCAGGCGTAACTCTGTAACCCCCAATTCAGGTTATCAGCCTGGTATGGGTGGACCAGACATGATGGGCCGCATGGGGCCTTATGAGTCGAATAAGGACCCCTTCGGTGGTATGAGAAAAGGTGAATCTTCTTGTCATGTCCTTACAAAGTAATATTATGGATCTCTTTTGTAAATTTGTTTTCTTTTAGTTATCTCTCATCTTTGTTCTGGCCCACTTTATATGAAGAAATCTTTATACAGTCCCTCCAGAAAAACGCGATTATGCGATCGCTGAATTCAATGCAAAATCAGCCAAAGTCCGCATATTTATGCGGGGGCCGCATTTTTTCAAATACGCCGCACTTTCGCCGCATAAATTGCCGATTTCCGTGCAATATATGCGGGGTTTGCATAATTTCATAAACCTCGCATTTTCGTTGCAAAAAAAGTCTTTGCAGAAAGTTGAAAAATGTTGCGTTTGCTTCACACAAGAGCAGCCATTTCCCCCTGTTTCCATGGGAACGTTATGAAGTGACGCAATTACGCGACGCCAGACAGACTCACGGAGACGATTGACATCTCACAAATCGAACTCGTATAACTGTCTGTCACACGTTCTACCGTCACATCGTTACTTAATAAACAACATAAGATAAAAGAAGTAGCATCAAACAGAAATTACCCGCACACATGGGGTGTTCGAGGCGCACACAACACTGCAGAGAGTTCTTAAAGGGGCCACACCTTATTTACACTCGTTACAGTCTGAAATAAAACAAGATGAGACATTAAATATTCCCAGCACTTTCTATGATGTAGTATGCTTGCTTATCAAAGGAAGTAATAAGAAATGACTTTTACATAGTGAGAACAGGATGTTGAGGGAATCACTTTCTTTCTCTTTTTCATCAAACCGCAATTTTTGCAAATTCTTGCAATTTCATCGCATAAAATTACATAAATATGCCGCATATTCCATCGCATTTTTAAAGAAAACGGGCCGCGTAATCAATCAATTTTTGCCCACAACAATTACACAAAAACTCCGTGTTTTTCTGGAAGGACTGAATACCATTATGGTAAATGTTATATATAAATCGCAAATTTTCACACATTTTTGGAAATTACCACCACAAAATCAGTCATTTTCATCGCAAAAATCACAAAAAAAAAATCGTGAAATCCTGGAGGGACTGAATTTATAGTTGTGCTGCTATAATATTGAGCCAACTCCGTGTAGCCAGTTTGTATGTACTTTGCTACACTAACATTTGAACCTTTCATATTGTCTGCTCTATGAATCTTATCCCAGTGTGACTGATTGTTAAAAGGCTTGGCGATTTATTTTTTTTTAAACCTGAAATTTACTAATCATACTTGTAAGTATAAATTGTACTTCTAATGATGCGTCATGTTGTAAACACAACATGATAAGAATTATGGGTGGTACATATTTTAGTATACAAAAGAAGATGTTCAGTGTGTCTCTCTTCTTGCATTTTCAGCGGGTGAGCAGTTCATGAGCCCAAATCAAGGCTCGAATAGTGGCATGGGGGAGCAATATAACCGAGGCGCCGCAGGACCTATGGGCAATATTCCGATGGGTCAAAGACAACAGTACCCATATGGTCCGGGATACGACAGAAGGTGAGAGCATTTATTTATGTTTTACATTTTTATTAAATGAAGCCATTGAATTTATCACAGCAATGAAACACTGCTGAAATCTAATGAAGTGTTAATATTTTGTATCTTTGTAGTGATTTTGACATTCCAACACAACCTAACCAAGAGTTGCTATTTTTAAAATGCCATTTATTTATTTCCTTACAGACCAGACTCAAGTATGGGCCCAGATGGCAATATGGGTCCACAGCCTAACATGATGCCTTCTGGTGCAGATGCAGGGATGTACTCACCCAACCGGCCCCCACAACAGCAGAGGTAAGCATTTAATTAAACTACACGTAAAACTTTCTAAATGTTTATTTGCTTAAAATTACAATTTTCTATTGTTTGCTACTCACCATTAAACATCCATGCTTTTTGGGGCTTTCTGAAACTGGATGTATTTCTTGGTTTGCAGGCATGATTCTTACAGTAATCAATACCCTGGCCAAGGTGCTCCCCCTTGTGGACCATACCCAAACCAACAGTCAGGAATGTACCCACAACAACCACCGGTCAGTGCAACACAACCTTAAAGGGATTCTCCTTTTTTTGGAAATAGGCTCATTTTATCATTCCCCCAGAGTTAAACAGTTGAGTTTTACCGTTTTCGAATCCACTGAGCCGATTTTCTGATATTTAGAAGAATATCAGTAACCAGTAGAGCCCGACCGGTAAAGGATTTTGAAGGCCGATACCGATACAAATATTTTTGGGTTTTAAAATCCGATATTTTATTTATTTATTTGAAACTGGACATGATAGTCACAAATTTTGTCATGCTTATTTGAGTTCAGAGAACTGATGGGGACGTTCTTTTAATTTTTATTCAAGCGATGTATGTATCGTGACCAACTCAACGAGTGTTGCCAACAGGAACGGTGTAGAGCGCCCTCTGGTGGACAAACTATACAACTCCAACACTCATGACATGGTTCAAGCGTGTTTCGTTCGTTTTTATTTTTATTTTTGAAATATTCATTTATCGGCCATTATAACTGCCGATACCAATAGTTTGGAAAGTGCCTAATATCGGCCGATAATAACAGTCTGGCTCTAGTAACCAGAGAGTTTCTGGTCTCATTGACTTCCATAGAAGGGAAAAAAATATACTATGGAAGTCAATGAGACCAGAAACTGTCTGGTTACTGATATTCTTCTAAATATCAAAAATCGTCCGAATACATTCGATAACGGTAAAACCCAACTGTTTAACTCTGGGGGAGTGGTAAAATGAGCCTATTTCCAAAAGAAGTTTAATATTGCATTATTGGTAATTGTGTTATTGCCTGAGATCTAAAAAAAAAAAAAAAACGTTCTCTCATATAGAATTACACGCAGAAGAGGCCAGTTGATGGTGTTTACGGTCCTCCTGCAAAGCGTCACGAAGGGGACATATACCCGTTTGGTGGTCAGCAGCAGGGACCCCAAGCCCCAGGTGGACCTCAGTCCCAACCAGATATGTATAACCAGTATAATACCTATCCAGGCTCCGACAGACGCCCACCTGGCCCACAGAGCCAATTTCCTTTCGGTTTCGACCTAACCAATCGAGGTCGAGGACCTAACATGGGTGGTCCAAACTCCCAGCCATCCATGCAGCCGCAGATGATGGGTAGCTCCATGAGTGTGCCCTCAGTCCCCGATGGACCCCAAGGTCCCATGTGGCCTGGGCGTAATGAGATGAACTACCCAAACTATCATAATCGCCAGGGGCCCCCTGGTGTCCCTTCTCAAGGTCAAGGCTACCACAGCATGAATCGTTCTGAAGACATGATGCCCTCAGATCAGCGCATGAACCATGAGGGATCTTGGCCTGGCCATGTTAACCAGCGTCAGCCCCCTTACGGGCCTGGGGGCTCTGGGCCGCCAATGTCCAGAACTCTACAACCCAACTATCAATCCTCTCAGAACCACATTCCACAAGTGTCCAGCCCTGCACCCATGCCAAGACCAATGGAGAACAGGACCTCGCCCAGTAAGTCTCCATACATGCACTCGGGGATGAAAATTCAGAAGGCCGGACCTCCAGTTCCTGCGTCACACATTGCCCAGCCGTCGGTGCAGCCCCCTCTGATTCGGAGAGACGTCGCATTCCCACCAGGTTCGATAGAGGCCTCGCAGCCCCTTCTGAAACCGCGTCGTCGGCTTACCATGAAGGATATCGGTAAGAGCATCGTTCCTATGAATACTGTTGTCTTGGTCCACTTGTAGAGTGTTCTGAAAGTCGGGTTTTGTTTTGTTTCAGGAACACCAGAGGCTTGGCGAGTCATGATGTCCCTCAAATCAGGCTTGTTAGCTGAGAGCACATGGGCTTTGGATACCATTAATATTCTTCTCTATGACGACAACAGCATTTCTAACTTTAACCTGAACCAGGTCAGTACGTTTCATACAGGGTTTCCGCGGGGTCCTAAAAAGTACTTTAAATTTAAGGCCTTAAAAAGTCTTTTTTCATCTGAGGTCTTAAATTTGATTTAGTTTGATTTTACCCTCGTTCATTTGCCAAAACTCTAGCCGCAGAAAGTTGCAAAGTAGCAAAAAAGTATTGAGTCGTAGCCTACAAGTGCAGGGGTTCAAATCGGTTCAAACACGGCGCTCGCGTGCTAGCATTAGCTCGTGGTTTGATACGAGGTAGCTTGCCAAGAGGCCGTTCATACACCAGGTTTGCGCACTCAAGTTCATTCAAATATAGGCGCGTCGCATCCACAGCGAGATTGAAAAAATCTACGAGCCGAAGAACCAACCAATCAGCTCCTTCCGTAACAACATTGAAAGCTCAGTCAACATGAAGGAACACTACCGCTGTCTTTCTCTTCTCCGTGAATAAATCTTGTAGCAAACCTAACATTACAGCAAGCGTTTCTCGGTGGTGGAAATCCATTGGCTACTAAAATGTCTTTGTCGTTACGGAGAGCGCAGTGCATGGTTGCATAGCAACGACAGACGCAACAGGAAAATCGGCCCAAATTTGACCATTAATAATAAAAGATAAGGGGATGTGAATGTCAGTAATTTATCATTTTTTGACTCAATCTTTTTATAAAAGATTATTTAAAGGCTGAAATATGTGAGGTTTGTCTGTTTATAAAACTATTTTTGTGAAGACTTTATTTTAACTAGACTTAACCTGTTGCAAGACACTCCTTTAAAATCTGGCCGTCATTTTTAATGGTATTTTAATGTTTATGTAAACAAAAAGTGCATATTCATGCTAATTTTATTTGCTGGGTTTAGACATACATTTGGCAAATTGATTTCATAGTAATCATGAAATGAAATGTTCATGCCATTTCATCTCAGTATAATTTTTTTACAAATGTAATTTTACTCTATTTATTAATGTTTTTTACTCAACATTTGTGCAGTTTTTGGAGGATTTTTGATATCTTTTACATTTCTATAAATTAATAAATAAATATTTATTTAAATAGGCTTTTTACAAAAAATGGCATTGCATGTAAAATTCACTTTATAAAAGACCCAGATTTCTAATTTTCATTCATGGAGATAACATGAATCATTTAACATGGTTTAATGTAAGATTTTTGACAATATTTTGGAAAATGCAGTTTTAAAATAACCACTAGATGGCCATAGACCTCCACTATAAGCTATTTGCTATTTGACTAACCAAACTATATATATTTCACAAGTTTTTCCAGTTGGATTCATATCTAAATATTATAAAATCACAATTATAACAAAAAAAAAAAAAACTTTTTGTCAAAGTTAAATATTTTTTTTATACCGACAAAAGTTTTTCATAAATGTTACATTATGATTAGAATCAAACCTGAACATGATGTTACAAAGAAAAATGTTGGAGTCTTTAGATTTGATCATTTATTTCAATTATCTGTTTTTAATATAAGTCTATAATTTTAAATCAATGTTTCAGTTACAAACTGTAAAAGAACAAAAATTAACAGAAATGAACAGTTATATTACATATTGAAAAAAAACACAGAAAACTGCAATGAACTGAACAGCAATAACAACTGAGCAAATAAAGCAAACAAATTGTTGTAATAAATAAATGATTTCCTAAAAAAAAAACTGATTGGATTTTTTTGTGTGTGTGTGAACAATTAGGAACAATAACTGGTGGTGCACTGTTTACTGGAGGTGTTGTTATTTGAAGTGTGTGTGTATTGTGGATGTTGGAAGTGTGCCACTTTATTTCTGTCTATGTGATCTTAAATTTGACTTACTGAAACCTGCAGAAACCCTGTTTATAGATGACTGAACTAGGGATGGGTCAGGTTGGTCAACTAACATATCTCTCTTCCAATTGCAGCTTCCGGGCTTCCTCGAGCTTATAGTCGAGTACTTCCGAAGGTGCCTCATTGAGATCTTTGGCATCTTGAAAGAGTACGAGGTTGGAGACCCTGGGCAGCGTACCTTGATTGACCCAGATGCCATTGACCCTGAGATGTCCGATGAGGAGGGGCCAGAGGCAGAGCAGATGGAAGAGGAGGATGAGGATGATGATGATGAGGTCGAGATGGACCCGGTCCATACGCCACAAGTCCAGATCAAGCAGGAGAAAGAGGAGTCTACGCAGGGTGAAAAATCAAACGACGTAGAAGAGAGGGAAGCCAACGAGACTTCATGCAAAGATCCTCTCAGGTCGTCCACCCCATTGCTGGACACAAGTCAGGAGAGGCCAAAGCAGGCTAGTAAATTTGACAAGCTCCCCATCAAGATATTAAGGAAAAAAGACCCGTTTGTGATCGGCCGCACTAGTAAATTGGGTCGGCGGCAGGCTTTTGATAGCGGTCTCGTCCATTGGAGCGTGGGTGGCGGTGACACCACCGAGCATATACAAACCCATTTCGAGAGCAAGACGGACCTCTTGAAACGGTTCCCGGTGAACGTGAACGTCGAGCCGCGCAAGAAGGCACCTCAAGTTACGGACAACGCTCAGAAGGCGCAGACGAATGACGAGCAGCAACCTGGAAAAAGCACGCCAGCGAGTATAACGGCCACGTTTGACGACGTCCTCTCGGCGAGGCGAGGCTCCGTCACCGAGGAGGCGGTCCGAGGCAACCTGGATGTCGACAGGGAGAAAAACACGTTCCTCTTCGGGATGGATCTCGCACAGCAGAGCCGCAACATCAAGATCCTGGAAGACGAGCCGCACAGCAAAGACGAGACGCCGCTGTGTACGCTCTCGGATTGGCAGGACGCCCTCGCGCGCCGCTGCATCTGCGTCTCCAACATCATCCGCAGCCTTTCCTTTATTCCCGGCAACGACCAGGAGATCTCCAAGCATCCAGGGCTGTTGCTGTTACTCGGCCGGCTCGTGCTGTTGCACCATCGGCATCCTGAGCGCAAGCAGGCGCCGGTTACTTACGAAAAAGAGGACGAGGAAGACGAAGGCGTGAGTTGCGAGCGAGACGAGTGGTGGTGGGACTGCCTCGACGTTTTGCGGGAAAACTGCTTGGTGACGTTAGCCAACATCTCAGGTCAGCTGGACCTCTCCGTCTACCCTGAGAGCATTTGCTTGCCCCTGCTAGACGGCTTGCTCCACTGGGCCGTGTGCCCTTCGGCCGAAGCCATCGACCCCTTCCCCACGCTGGGGCTCAACGGGACGCTGTCTCCCCAGAGGCTCGTCCTCGAAACCCTCAGTAAGCTTAGCATCCAGGATAACAATGTTGACCTCATTCTGGCTACACCGCCTTTCAGCCGCTTGGAGAAGCTCTACGGCTCCCTCGTGCGCATGGTCGGCGAGCGCAAAGTGCCCGTCTGCCGGGAAATGGCGGTGGTGCTGCTAGCTAACCTGGCGCAAGGCGACGGCGTCGCGGCCCGGGCTATCGCGGTGCAGAAAGGCAGTGTGGGGAACCTTCTCGGCTTCTTGGAGGACAGTCTTGCAGCCACGCAGTTTCAACAGAGTCAGGGCTCGTTACTGCACCTGCAGGGGGCGCACTTCGAGCCCACCAGTGTGGACATGATGCGGCGGGCGGCACGAGCCCTGCACGCTCTCGCCAAAGTGGAGGAGAACCACTCGGAGTTCACGCTGTTCGAGTCGCGGCTACTGGACATCTCGGTGTCCCCGCTCATGAACTCGTTGGTGTCCCACGTGATCTGTGACGTACTTTTTCTGATCGGCCAGTCGTGACAGCCGTGGGGGTGATGGTGCGTTTCCCCACTCGTTTTTTTTTAATGTGTGTGTGTGTGTGTGTGTGTGCGTGTGTCGACAGCGAAACTGACTGAGTGTACGTTCATTTTTTTTTTTTTTTTTATTTATGCAAAATCACCTCAGATTCCACTGTCTATCCTTGCTTTGCTCCATTGAGTCACGATGGATTTGACACGTACAAGAATGAAACTTACAAGGATGTGCCGATCGAGATCCTCGCCTGCGAGAGTGCGCTGCCCTTTTTTGTAAGGAAAAATTAAATGAAAACTGTAACCAAAGTTGCTGTCACGTTTACAGTGAGTTTGGGGAGAAATCGTGCCCGCGTACACGCCTTCCGGGTGGGGAAGGGCGACCGTAATCTGGTTCTTGGAGGCTAAATGGACTTGCAGACTCTGGTGTGTGGTATAAATTGCTGTAACTTTGATTAAATATATACTTAGCCCTAAAGGAACCAGGTCGTTGGCTGTGAACAGAAATGTAAATGGGAGGCCTGTGCAGTAGATTGTAGGACTTTTTTTCTGTACTGTACACCTTAAAACTGTAAACATACTGTAATAATACTGTTTCACACTGAGATAATGCTGGCTTGGCAGCAAAAAAACTGTAGTTTTTAAAAATGATGATGATGATGATGATTTTAGTTCATGTTGAGAGAGGAGAAAATGGCTTTCCCCCCAAAGTAACGTGAACCTACAACACCCCGACCTCTTCTTTGTCCCTCGATTGTATGACTTGACCCTTAAAGAAATCACCTCTTAGGACTGGTCTTGAGCTCTAGATGCAGTCCAGGCTGCAGTGTATATAATGATGTTGTAAATTACACTCTTTCTCTCTCATCTTATGGCGCTCTTCACCGTTTTTAATCTTTGACGAATTAAAGGTTTCACTCAACAGATCTCTCATTGCACATTGCCATGTGTTTATTTACCACCCTCCTCTCCTTACATTGCCCATTCACACATAACATTTCAATTGCTTTTGTTCGAGCTGTAGAGGCGCACGTTTCCAACCAGACGAGTCCATTAACTCCAACCATACGAGGATACAATACACACGTTTGTTTCCCCCTCTTTCCCAGCGGTTTCCTTAGTCGACTCCAGTGCTATGGATTCATATTTGTATTTCAGATGATGTAGCTAAAATCTTGTTGTAAATTCCTTTTCCCCCCCTTTTGGCTTAATGAATATCATTTATTCCGTATGAAATCTTTATACTATATGTTCCACGTGTTAAGAATAAATGTACATTAAATCTTGGTAAAACGCTTGTGATTGATTGATTTATTTGTATAAATTATCGGTTTTGCGGTTTATGAATTTATACATGTTAAGATGTATGGACTGCATTTTTCATTGCCCCATATATTTTTAGACAGTCAATTGTGGTTGGAACCAAAGGCGGTTATAATGGAAGTAAACGGTGATGCTCAGATGCTAGTGATCAGAAACAGGGCTTTAATTGTAAAATACCGAACTTGTCCTTTAAAGGTCAAAATCCTAAAATGTATTACATATGTGACAGTGACGCAACTAAGAACCTTAGTGCCATTACAAAAATGATATGGACAACTTCACAGCCTAATAACGCCTATTCAGGTAAGTGCTTAAGTACGGAGGCGTATTGCATTCACTTGAAGAAAAAAAATGTGCTCTGTTTTTCTGAATTAACAAGTTAATTTTTCATGAGGAAAAAAAATGCTCTGTTTTTCTGAATTAACGAGTTAATTTTTCATGAGAAAAAAAGTTTTTGCTCTGTTTCTGAATTAACGAGTTAATTTTTCATGGATTTTTTTTTTTTTTTGCTGTGTTTTTCTGAATTAATGAGTTAATTTTTCATGAGAAAAAAAATGCTCTGTTTTTCTGAATTAACGAGTTAATTTTTCATGGATTTTTTTTTTTGCTGTGTTTTTCTGAATTAATGATTTAATTTTTCATGAGAAAAAAATATTTTGCTCTGTTTTTCTGAATTAATGAGTTAATTTTTCATGGAAAAAAAAAATATTTTGCTCTGTTTTTCTGAATTAACAAGTTAATTTTTCATGGATTTTTTTTGCTCTGTTTTTCTGAATTAACGAGTTAATTTTTCATGGAATTTTTTTTTTTGCTCTCATGAAAAATTAACTCATTAATTCAGAAAAACAGAGCAAAAAAAACTTTTCTCATGAAAAATTAACTCATTAATTCAGAAAAATAGAGCAAAAAAAATTTTCTCATGAAAAATTAACTCATTAATTCAGAAAACAGAGCAAAAAAAACTTTTCTCATGAAAAATTAACTCATTAATTTAGAAAAACAGAGCAAAAAAAAAACTTTTCTCATGAAAAATTAACTCATTAATTCAGAAAAACAGAGCAAAAACTTTTTTCTCATGAAAAATTAACTCGTTAATTCAGAAAAACAGAGCAAAAACTTTTTTTCTCACGAAAAATTAATTCGTTAATTCAGAAAAACAGAGCAAATTTTTTTTTTCTCATGAAAAATTAACTCATTAATTCAGAAAAACAGAGCAAATTTTTTTTCTCATGAAAAATTAACTCGTTAATTCAGAAAACGGAGTAGATTTTTTTTTCTTCAAGTGAATGCAATACGCCTCCGTACTAATACGCCTCCGTACTTAAGTCTCACAATTCTGCTGGTAAACATGTGAATGTCTTATTTATTTCCAATGCAAATGTATTCTGTAACCCAAGTGTATTTCTGTTGTAATCAGTTATCCTCAAGTGCTGTTTGGTGGAGGCCTGACTCAACAGAAGTGTTTATGTGCTCTAAGGACGATTCTGCATATTGCAAGTCACATTTTTTTTTTCCCTCACAGGATTAATGGTGTCCAACCCAAAGAAAACACAGGCTGAAATTGGATAATTGGATACTGTAAAAATACAGGCATCTGTAGGCTGCCAATATTATTTTAAGTTGAATATGAAATGCATGCAGTTTTCAATATAGTTTTTGTACTCTAATCAAATTTGGTGTAAAAACAAATAGACAATCCATTCAAATAATTAATTGAAGAAATTTTAAAGTTGCAGTTGTAAATTTCCTTCATTAGGTTGGAAAGTGAAGTCCAATCCCCCAAAATAGCCGTTTTTATGAGTAACGAGCACTTTAAAAGCAATATTATTTATCTTGCATAGCCTACAATTAAAATGACTGAAATTACGATAAAATACATGCATATATAAGTTTTGATTTTGTTGATGATGTATTTTATACGTTTTTTTTTTCTTCCTAAACATGCAGAGATGTCATATCTTATTTGATTTTGCCTCATGCTAGCCGAAGTTACGACGTCACTCTGTAGGCCAAAACGCGGAAGTGAGTTAGCATTTTAGCATTACGGTTCCCTCGCTCTAAAGCCTATGGGATTTTTGAATGGGTTTTTGCTAAATCGCCTGAAATAAGGTCTGTGGTGAACAAAGCCTCTAAATATTTTCACGTTTTGATCTATGACATAGAACACACAGTTATAACCTGCTTGTGTTTTTTTAAACTGTATTGTGTCTGCTTGTGTTTTAAAAAAATCTTTATATAGGCTTCAAAATGTATACATTTTGGATTACCTTGTAAAGATTATCTTGCTAGACAAAACGTGTAAGGGTCACAACCCTTTGTTAAACACAGGTCTCATTTTTTGCGATTTTCCAAAAGTCTATGGGGAAAATGCATTGCTTTTCGACCGAGGGAACCCATGCGCCGCTAGCTTCCGGGTTGTCCTACAAAGTGACGTCATCACTTCGGCTCACTATTGAAATGACGATAAACAATAGATGCATTATGTCAGTTTTGATTTTGTTTCAGAAGTTGTATTGTTCGTTTAAAAAAAAACATTTTCATGCTAAACATACAGATGTGTTATGATATCTATGCTAGTAATGAACACGTGGTTGGATATCTCCATAGAAATGGAAATATCAGAGCACGCAATGTTAATCCCACAGCGCCATCTAGCGGTTACAAACAGATAACTACAAATGCCGGGCAGGGATGAGTGCAATGGATGCTGATTATAAAGATTAGAGCCATCTATTCACGCACTACCGAAAGATAGGCTACAGGAAAGCAATACGCAGAAACCACTGGAATCCAGACAGCGAAACGTGGATTTTGGGGTAAAATTATACCCGGAATATTGTAGTTCTTTAACATGTTGGGATTGGCGTTGCCTGCGAAGAGCATCTGAGGACTAAAGCGTCACATCCTGCGTGCCATCATCCACATCATCTGTGCGGCAGATCATATATTATTAGTGTGCTCTAACATTCACGCGAGAAGCGGAAGGTGACGCGCGCGTTTGCGTTAAAAACAAACTACCGCTGGTTTTTAATCGAACCATGTAGCGAGGACGCGTTTGTGACGTTGTCGCTGCACATCGCGTTACGTCACATGCTGGTAAATCCGTCGCGCTTTTTCGCGATCTGTTTGTTTGCCAAAAGCGGGACGCGGTCGGCGTGTGCTCGTGCCGTGTTTGTTTGTGTAATGACACTGTTAAGCGACATCTCTCCGCTCGTAACGCGCAGCAGCTGATGTTTGATGGACACTGAGCGCCGTGAATGATGAAAAACCGCGAATATCAGCAAATAGATCCTCATGCACTCGCGACCCCGACCCCGACGCCTCCACCGCGACCTCTTCCCGAGCACAAGCCCAAACGAGCCCGGAGAAAATGGGAGGTGTTTCCCGGGAAGAACCGCTTCTACTGTGACGGGCGCATCATCGTGGCGCGTCAGAGCGGCGTCTTGCCGCTCACACTGGGACTCATCCTGCTCACCAGCGGACTCTTCTTCGTCTTCGAGTGAGTCTGATTCTGCCTTTGGCTGCTACTGAGCTGGCTTGTTGTTGATAGGACAAATAAGTGTTGTATTGTTTGTATACATGCACATCTATATAGGCCTAGAGGAGATCGGGGTCACAAGCGCATCTCAACGCGCTCAGCGTTTGGAGAGAAAAGTCCAATTTCTATTTCATCGATATATCTGAAGAGTTCAGAAGCAAAAGCCTCTAAATGCCATTTGAAATTTTCTTCTTTAATGATGATTTTTTTTTATCAAACTTGTATATTTAAGTTCAGTAATTTCACTTAAATAACAATTAATAGGTAATTATCATTGCCATTTAAGTGAAATCACTGAACAAGCTTGATAAAAATGATCATTCTAGAAGAAAATTTCAAATGGCATTTAGAGGCTTTTGCCTCTGAACTCTTCAATTGTGTTTTTACTCTACCAGTGGTTTGATGTTGGTCTCAAACACGTCTTATTTAGGATGTTTTTGTGAAATAAACCAACCCTGACATTAAAATTATAGATCACTCTTAAAAATGAGAATCTCATGTGGAACGTAAGATTGTTTTTATTGGAAGTCAGTGGTAGCGTTAAAAATGAGTGAGTGTGCATAAGACAAGTATTTTTCATAAATGTCAGATTGGGCCGATTTGTCACGTGTTATCAGCATTTTTTTTAATCTTTTAAACAGGTTTCCAGTGTGACAACTTGCCCCATTGATGTGTCAGTATGCCCTTCTATAGAATCAGCATTGGATTGACTCAATTGAATCAATATATTTTATTTTTAAGTTTACCTATATGCAGTACCTCATGTATTAGAACTAAATTATTAGTAGACTACAACAATAAAATATAACTGGCATTATATTTGATGTATACATGACCATTTTTATAATGCTATTACTAATGCCATATTATTTGTACAAACTGTGACAACGTGTCCTGTCCTGTTAAAGAGCCTGCATTAGAAATCATCCCATTTTTTAATCTACATTTGTTTCTAAATTAGTTTTATTCATAATAGTCACTAGATCATTAAACTACAGCAATACAAAATTAAGAACTGCTAATAGCAATAATTCTCAATAATTCAAGCTTGTGTTGTGATATTAATGGTTATGGATATATTATCTAATTGATTAATTTAATTTATATCTCAATTATGACAATGTCTGTTATTAAATTAAGTTTATTTAACCTGTGAATTGTTCTGTCGCAGTTCAGCGAACCACTTAATAGTGCCGTTTCGATAGACTTGAAATCCGTCCTGATAATACTTTGCACATGGCAAATAAATGCATCTTTCCAAGGGCAATAATATTGGATATTTTCATTAGCGTGGTTGAGACGATTGTTTCAAACTGAAAATAAACATGCCTCCCTATCCTGATTTATACAATAAGAGAAAATGATCTATGAATCTGCATGTGAAATGTCCCGTCTCTCTCTTGATAATATTTGTACTGAGTTCACTTTTAGGGACTTAATTAATGATGTATGGTTACTTAAAAGTGGCTCGTTTAATTTTAGTGTTAATCATACTCCTAATTTTAAAGCAATCCCTTGTGGATCCAGCACATTATGTGGAGATTCTGTAGATTACATTAGGTTTATGTTCTTTATTTTCATCAGTTCTTGTACACAACCACCACGGTCTCTCGTTCTCTTTATAGTGCATTGGTTTAGCATCAGACATTGGATTTGGGATCCGCAGAGCTGCAGGGAAGGGAATCGTTTAATGGAGCACTATATTTTAAATCAATGTTTGACTAATTGAGGCGTTGTGTGGTTCCAGCTGCCCGTTCCTGGTGAAGCACCTGACCAGCTGCATCCCGGCCGTCGGAGGGGTCCTTTTTGTGTTTGTGCTCATCTCTCTTTTCCAGACCAGCTTCACGGATCCGGGGATTCTGCCCCGGGCGACGCCGGAGGAGGCCGCAGACATTGAGAAACAGATCGGTGAGGGAGCACGCATCTCCACATGTCCATGGTTGTGTTCAGAAAGGATAATATATGGCATGCTAGATGTAGTTTAATCTAGTTGGTGAAACTTAATGTGTGTGCAATGCCATTTTTTAGTTTCAATGCCATTTTCATCTTTCTGTAAGGGACACCTATTCTAAAATATATAAGGGCTGTACAAAAAAAAAATATATATACATATATATATTAGGGCTGTGCAAAAATTAATTGCGATAAATCGCATCCCAAATAAAAGCCTGTGTTTACATAATATATTTGTGTGTGCTGTATATAATTATTTTGTATATATAAATACACACACATGCATGAATATATTTAAGAAAATGTGTTATTCATATATAAAATATTTATATTTATATAATATAGATTATGTATTTATATATATACACAGAATTTAAGTGCAAATAATTTTTAAATATATACATGCATGCATAGGTATTTATATATACAAAATAATTATATACAGCACGCACAAATATATTATGTAAACACAGACTTTTATTTTGGATGCGATTAATCGCAATTAATTTTTGCACAGCCCTAAATATATATATATATATATATATATATATTTTTTTTTTCATGTCTAAATACCCAATTTATATTGTATTATGCTGTTATAAATTTGTAAAATAAATGAAAACTTTTTTTTTTTAGTATTTATTTTGTTTACAAATTTAAATTTTATTATAAAATGTAATATTTTAATCATTTTTTTTAAAAAATTTAATAAAAAAAATTTCTAAACTTTTCCATGGACCCACTAGCACTCCCTTGCGACCCCCTGAGGGTCCATGCACTATAATTTGTAAACCCCTGCACTACGCAATGATGCATTTGTTTAAAAAAAAAAGAAAGTCTGCAACACTCATAATTATTCAGCGAGTGTTATTCAGTTATCTGTTTAATTATTTTGTGTTTATTATCCAAGTTTGTCTAAAATATCTTTATCCAGTTGATTGTATAATGAGTTAAGAAATATGCCTGATGTTTTTTCTGGTTCACTCATCACTGTGGAAATGTGAGGGCTAGTCTAGGGCATTGCATTATGGGATAGAGTGCATGTGTATATAGAGTTGATGCTAAAGTTGACTAAAAAGAGGAATAAAAAATGATGATCTCTCAATGCACATCAAACCAGCTGTTAGGATAACTGAAATAAAGCCATGTCAATCTCCAGGTATGGTGGAGGGTGTGTGATGATGTGGATATTTTAATTCGAAAGGCCTTGGGAACTTAATCAGGAAGAAATATATTCTGTTCATCTAGCCCCAAAAAAGAGGAAGTCTTCGCTGTTTAGAGACGCTTATTAGAAACTGTTCAATAAGAGCTTTTTAAAGTCCGAATGATCCTAACTGCACAGTTTTGTTTTATTCTTTAACTTTTGTTATTGAAATTCCTCTCTCTCTCTCTCAGACAACCCAACAGGCTCGTCTTCATCCTACCGCCCCCCTCCGCGCACTAAGGAGGTCCTCATCAATCAGCAGGTGGTGAAACTCAAGTACTGCTTCACCTGTAAGATCTTCCGTCCGCCGCGCACCTCCCACTGCAGCCTGTGTGACAACTGTGTGGGTGAGTGTGGAGTCAGAGGTCATGCATTATTTGGCTTGGGACGACAAATCCAGGCCTGTTTTATTTTATTAGCGACGTTTGCTAATCTGAGTGCCATTCTACTATTGCTTATACTTCATGGTAGAAGTTTACATTTACCTTTATGCATTTGTCATATGCTTCTATTTAACATGACATTAGCAGATATCACCTAGAACACCACAGCAGTTTCGTCGTAGTGCAACAGGACCTCACATTTAATGTCTAATGACATACAGTATAATTAGGGCTGTGAAATGATTAATCGCAATTAATCACATCCAAAATAAAAGGTTGTGTTTACATAATATATGTGGGTGCACTGTGTATAATTATTTTTTTATATATATATAAATACACGCACATGCATGTATATTTAAGAAAAAAATATTATTTATATATAAAATATAAATTATATATAAATCTGTATACATGAAAATATTTCTTAAATTTATACAAGCATGTGTGTGTATTTATATATATATATATATATAAAATAATTATACACAGTGCACCCACATATATTATGTAAACACAAACTTTTATTTTGGATGCGATTAATCGCGATTAACCGTTTCACAGCCCTAATTATAATAGATTGTTAGCAATAATTATTGTTCTTTAGTAATTTTTATTATTATATTTTGTGTTGTAACTTTTATTTTAATGTATTATTGCTATTATTTTATAGCTATATTGATGGATAATCTACATTTTTATGAATTTGTGCATCCCTTTTTTTACAATCACAATTTGTATCATAAACGCAATTAATTAATTCTTTATCAAGTAATTATTAGCAGTTTGAGAGCCTTGGGAAGACGTACTCTATTACGTAATTTGCAGAGCTTTAAAGGAGTGGGTGGGCGCTAAAGTGTCATTTTGTTGCAATTTCTGTGTTGATTGTTTATATATATATATATATATATTTGTTTATATATTTATTTATTTGTTTATATATTTATTTATTTGTTTATATATTTATTTATTTATATATTTTATTTATTTTTAATGTTTTTGCAGAATCAAGGTAATGTAGTTTTTCACTAGGAATTCGGCTGTTAAACGAGTCAATTCCAAAATTGAATCAGTTCCAGAAAATGAATTATAAACGCCACGCATGTCTTCATAAAATGTTATCTAGTCACATTCGCTATGAAAGGGCAATATATTTGTTCCTCTTTGCAGTTTCACACAGTTCTGCTTGTGAATCCGTGTGGGATGTTATTTTTCTCAGATGTTTGCAGTGTTATTAATGCTGATAGATTTATGCAAGCCGGTTTGATTGGTTGTGATTTATTCTTAAGCCAGCAGAGTTTTTAATCACAGCTGTAATAAATCAAGAAGCGTGTGACGCCCTGCTGTCTTGTGTCTTTGATAGAGCGCTTCGATCATCATTGCCCTTGGGTCGGGAACTGTGTGGGAAAACGAAACTATCGCTTCTTCTACACCTTCGTGGTCTCGCTCTCCTTCCTCACGGCCTTCATCTTCGGTTGTGTAACCACGCACCTGGCTCTGAGTATGTGTCATCATTTCAATTGCTTGAGCAAAGATTGAGCCGTTCGTTCGATGATAGCAGATCATTTTCTCTCGTGTAAACAGATTTGTAACAAGACTCGGCATTTCTTTCTAATGCTTTTATTCTACACATCCACATGCATGAGTGAATCACAGCGTGTATTGAAGCCAAATGAGCCTGTAAGAGGCCGTGTGTATGATTTGAGATAACCTTTATTGACTAATGTTCTCTTTTATAGGGTCACAAGGAGGAAATGGGTTGGTTGTTGCTCTCCAAGCGAGTCCTGCCAGATATCCTTTCATTTTAGATGTCTGACTCTGATTTCAGATGATTTTATTCTAATAAAAGGATGTTTTGGGTTATTAAATGAAGACAAAAATAGTTTCAACTTGTCCCTCAAAATCGAATCAGCACTGGATTAAATGTTAAAATGCAGTGCTTTGATTTTTGTGTGCTAGTAAAAAACTTGGTAACACTTTACAATAAGGTTCATTAGTTAATATGTGAACAATACTTCTTCAGCATTTATTAATCTTAGTTAATATTAATTCCAACATTTACTAATACGTTTTTAAAATCAAAGGTTGTAACATTAGTTAATGGACTGTGAACTAACATGAACGCACAATGAACATTAACAAAGATTAATAAACACTGTAACTAATGCATTGCTCATCGTTAGTTCATGCATTTACTAATGTTAACTAATGAACCTTATTGTAAAGTGTTACCGAAAACTTTTACGTCAGCAGTTTGAATGGTTCACAATGCCTCAAAAATCACATTTCTGTTCTTAAACACAGTTCAGATATCTTGGCTACAAATTAAGAATAGTTTCAACGACTTAATTTGTGGCCATGTTGTATTAATTTCCATTTTCAAATTCATTTTAGTAAAATTCTTCCCAAGACTAATTCATTTGTTCCCTTTGTTGTACAGTAGGTGAACCATGGCCATGTTTTACCAATTTATTCCCTGATTTATGTAAATTGTGACCAGATTGTACAAATCTGTCCCCTCTTTTTATTTTATTTTATTTAGTTGTATTGTGGCCACAGTTTGACTAAAAACAGTGAACGGATTCCTAATTTCTGGCCTCTCAAGTCATGTTCGGGGCTTCGTACTTTATTAACTTGCCCCCATAGGCTTCCATTATAAGTGCAAATGCGCTGCTTGTTCCCAGTATATTCCTGTATTGTGTTTAATTTGTATTTCTGTATTTGTTCAAATTCTCTAGTCTTCCTTGACTTCTGTCCACTGCTCTCGAGTTAGTGGTTTGCTTCTTTTCTGTATGGTCCATTTTGGGCCTCTCAGGCTTCCATACATACTTGGTGGCTGCAAATCTTACTACCAATGAGGATGTGAGTTTCTTTCATAGCCTAAGAGATTTATTTTTAATTTCAGGGCTAATTTATTCTGAATTTAATACTTTAATACAAAATTTAATGTGTAACTTCACCTATTTTCGGCAGTAAATGAATGATGTTTAGTCTTTCTCTCTGTGTTACCTGGAACTTGATTTTTATTTATTTATTTGTCAGCAAAAGTCTTTGGTAACACTGAGTATACAAATTTAAAGTCCTTGCAAATCATTAACACACTATTAATTTATAGTTAATATATTGTAGTCTCTACATCTGGGGCTTTTTCGAAAACTAAAGCTTGTATTTACACTTTTTTTTGTATCCCTGCCCTAGGTCGTCTATAAAGTCAATAATTGTATCGCTTAAAATTCTTTAATCACCAAAATGACAAATGAAGTTTTTTCCTTGAAAAAAACAACCATGTCTTTAATATACAGTAGTTGTTTATCTTTACACCCGTGCCTCATTTAGTATTCGTGGCTCTAGGAACATGCCAGTTAGACCCGCCTCCACTCACTCAGAGATCCAATCATTGACGATCACACGTTGATCTGATTGGTTACAAGGTGGTTTGTGAGTGTGTTTTTGAGACTGTCTTTGGTTCACTGCAGTGTTTAGGAGAAATACTCAGCAATAGTGTCAACTTATGAATTTACACATATTTTGTCTTTGTTGCATGACTGACAAAATAGGCATTACAAACACAGTTTGTGTTAAATCTGTATAGTTCAAATGAATTTGAGATTGAAGGAAACTTTAAACTGAGTTGAAATACATAAATCTTAGAATAAGTACTTTTGTTAAAGGAGTAGTTCACTTTAAAAAAAAGATGTCTTTCATCCAAGATGTCCATGTCTTTCTTTCTTCAGTCGAAAAGAAATGAAGGTTTTTGATGAAAACATTCCAGCATTTTCTCCATATAATGGACTTCAATGGGAACCAAACGGTTCAAGGTCCAAAAGACGGGTTCAGTGCAAACTGTTCAAATGGCTTTAAACGATTCCAGACGATGAATAAGGGTCTTATCTAGGACTCGAAAAAAGATTTGTTCATTTTGATAAACAAGTTCGAACAGGAGAGTCACAAACACGCACCAAAGAACAGAGCAAGGCGAGCATTTGTGCTTATAAAACTTAAACTTTGTTAATTATTTATTAAACGAGCGATCGTTTCGCTAGATAAGATCCTTATTTGTCGTCTGGAGTCGTTTAAAGCCCTTTGAACAGTTTGCACTGAAAGTGTCTTTTAGACCTTGAACCGTTTGGACCCCATTGAAGTCCATTATATGGAGAAAATCCTGGAATGTTTTCATCAAAAATTTTAATTTCTTTTCGACTGAAGAAAGAAAGACGTGGACATCTTGGATGACATGGGGGCGAATAAATTATCAGCAAAAGATTTTTTTAAAGTGAACTACTCCTTTAAGTGCAGCTGTATTATTTTTTTCTTCCATATTACAGATTAAAGGTTCATGGTCAGGGAAAAGTGGAAACGAGGACGTTGGGAATCCTTACAGCTACAACAGTATGATGAAAAACTGCTGTTCTGTGCTCTGTGGACCCATGCCGCCCAGGTGAGACGTGTGTAGATCAGGAGCAGATTCGCCATGACACGCTTAAATAGGGTTAGTTCACCCAAAAATGAAAATTCTGTCAGTATTTACTCTCTCTCATGTCTTTCCAACCCCGTAAGACCTTCGTTCATCTTCGGGAGACAAATTAAGATATTTAAGATATTAAGATCGCTCCATAGGCTTCTTGAGGGAATGACTCTTGCTGGCATCGAAAAGTCATTAAAGACATCGTTAAAATAGTCCAAGTGACTCAATCTTAACTTTATCAAACGACGAGAACACTTTTTGTGCACAAAAAACAACAAAAATAACGACTTTATTTCAACTATTGGTTTATTTCTCCCTCTGCGAGTCAGGTTACTAGTTTAATAGCGTAAGCTTTTGTTATTGTACGTCACACGCATCACACACATGACCAGCGTCGGCCAATAGTGAGCCTACGTGTGACGTAGCTTTACGCAATCACACTACGCTAACTGACTACAGGCCCATGGAGAAGGAAGTGAATAATTGAAATAAAGTCGTTATTTTTGTTGTTTTTGCGCACAAAAAGTGTTCTCGTCGTTTGATAAAGTTAAGATTGAGCCGCTGTAGTCACTTGGACTATTTTAACGATGTCTTTAATGACTTTGAGGCCAGCAAGTGTCATTCCCTCAAGAAGCCTATGGAGCGATCTTAATATCTTAAATATCTTAATTTGTGTTGCGAAGATGAACGAAGGTCTTACGGGGTTGGAACAACATGAGGGTGAGTGAATACTGACAGAATTTTCATTTTTGGGTGAACTAGCCCTTTAAATAGGGCAGTTAAAGTCTGGATTTATCACTGTGGCTTTATTGTGTTTCCCATTCTTCCTCTGTCGTCTTGTCAGTTTGATTGACAGGCGAGGTTTTGTGCCCTCCGATGACTCCGTCCAGACCAGTCCGGTGGAAATCGAACTTCCAGCTGCCAAAAACGACATAAACATGGTAGGACGTGCAGTCACCTCAGGCCGACGACCTCCTCCTCCTCCTCCTCCCCCGGTCGTAACCCTACAGCGACCTGCCGTCTTCATACAGAACCACTCGACCGCCTGACTATTTGTGTCTGTTCCCCTTCGTGCTGTGTTGTATGATGCGTTTTGGCATATTTGGATGGTGCGGCTCGCTCAGATTTGTTCGGCGTTGAGTAGAGCAGTGACGGCGGTGCTGCCTTGGTCAAAGTCAGATAGATGAGATGTGTTTACTTGGAGTTTTAAAGGGAAATAATGGTTTGTAGACTGTTTAGCTCCTTCATAGATCAGGGGTTTGGAGTTTAGGTGCTGTACAAAGGAATGGGTGTAGCTGACATGCTTCATGGTGCACATTTACAGAAAGAGGAAACGAAACTTCAGTCTTCCTGTAAGGTTAGGTCGAGTTCTGAGGTAGTGAGCAGGAAAGGCGCTGTAGTTTCATGTGATGCTGGTGTTGGTTTTTAAAGCCCTTTATGATGTGCAGGACTATGACGCTCTTGAAACAAAATGTTGTTTAGTTTTCCTTTATCATGGTTTGTGTAACTCAAGTTGTTTTTATTATGATCTGAGCATACAAACAACTTGGCTGTTTAAGTTGCTTGAATAATATTTTGTTTAATCAAACAAACGTTTTTTTTTTTGTTGTAGTTTTATAGTGGGTGTTTATCAACTTAAATGTTCCTTGAAGTTATTTGTTTTTCTCAGCTAGTAACGACCTCATCCCATCAGTAAACAAACAAACAGCGCTATGGGTTTAAACATTTCTCTGGTTGTAACTTTGGGCAGTCCATGTGACATCTAAAGTAAAATATCTAAATATGACGGATTTTCAGAAAAATGAATAAGGTGCTAAAGCATCTCTTCACTGATGTACTGTTCACTGTTATTAGTATTAGTCAGTAGTGTAGCTATTCTCACACTTGCCTTATTGTGTGTGTGTGTGTGTGCATGTTTATGTTGTGAAACGGTTTGCATGCAATGGACATTTCCCTATGGGATTTTATGTATAATAACAGCATGGTTTTTTTTTTTAATGATCATTCCTGACATTTTTTTGTACTTTTTGAACATATTTGTGCTTGTATATGTTAAAAATGCCTTTTAATGTTAAATAAATATATTTTTGAACCACAGAATTCCTGTCCTGCATGTACATTTGTTGTTTCTGCCATAATTGAGTTAAGTGGGGCGAGTTGTTTGTTTAGGGCACACTGACAGTTGTGTGGTTTTCTTGGCATGTTCGATGCATTAGTGATGTTATACTTACCGGGCATAGCACATTAACCCTTGTCCCGTGTGTGTGTGTGCATGTGTTTAGGAAAAAGATTGCCTGGATTTCGCCCTGTCTTGTGTCAGCTGATGGTTCAGTGGGCAGAAGTAGGGGATTGTGGGGAGGTTGGTAAGACTCAGGAGCGTGTCCACAGATTCCTGTAGGTGGCGTCACATCGGCTCCACGTGCTTTAGGCCTGCATGATGCTGACAGAGCATTACAGATGATGTGTTACAGCATCAGCACTGCTCCTCCCATTCTGACTATCCACTATTTCATGTTTAGTTTGTGTGCAATATATTTTGGACTTGGACTTTGATTGTCAAGCTGCATTATCATGCTGTGAACCAAAATCAACGATAAATCACAAACCATTTTCTCTCCCTCCTGTTCCAAACCTGTATAATTACTTCTGTGAATAACACTTCACAAGATAATCACGAGACGTTTAGCTGAATGTCCTAGTGGTTCTTTCGCATATAGTGAATGCATGTTGAGGCCTCACAGCCCCGGTTTACCATTCACAATTTTTTAATAAGCTCTTAAGTTTATATTATTGACTTGTTACTTTTAGATTTCCATTATTAATTACAACAAAACTCATATGAAAACCCAGTCAGTAAATATGTGACATAAGTGTCTAAAATATACATCACAGTGGTTTTTGGGTTTGGTCATATCGACGCTGCGGTTGTGGTTTAGTGAGTGACGCGCTGATAGAGCGAGAATGATTCATACGCGTCTGTGAATCGGACACCACGGCTCACGTTGTGTTTATTGTGTGTCAGAAGATACCGATGCACTTTCTAAAGATG